GGGTGATTTGAGGCGCTGATTCCGGAAATTCACCTTGAAGAGCGCGAAAATAGCAAAAGCCACCATTTCCCAAGGCCTCCCATTTTGAATTTGGACGGTGGGGCATGTTCCGCCATGGTTAATAGGCAGAGTCGTTGCGGGACCCTCGCGGTTATAACATTGTGGTCCTCCTACGGGGCAGGGAGAATCGCAAGCTTGTCCACGCGTATTAAAATGGCTTGCGCGTAACGGGTTTGAGGGGCACTTTTTGGACAAGGGCAGCATGTAGTGCGCTCAGACATGCTCTGTTCTCGTGTCTGGGCCACAAGCAGTGCGATAAGGTGAGAATGACTCCTTTAGGGTGAAGGGGGCCACAACGGTCGTAGCTCCTCCAGGGTGAAGGGTGTTCCACTTGGCAGAGAAATTAAGAAATGTCGACCGGGGGGGGGGGGAAGGGGGTGCCATGGTATTCTCTCATCATTCTTCCTAGTCAAAGTTTATAATTTTCAATTTCGTACCATCACTGGTTGTCTTTTTCTGAAATGTGAACCGATGTGCTGTTGGATTAGCGCAAAATTATATTTCTGATCAGCACCTTGTATTTTTTCCATTATCTTTTCCCTTTTTTACATCACCTTGCCTGTTTTTAGAATTACCATAAAAGATGTGCATGCGAGAACATTTGTTTCGGAAAGAGTTAGACATTTTTCAAGCATTTGCGAATTTTTCAAAAGAAGAAATTCGTATTTCTGTAGGTGAACGGCAACGTCAGCAAGGGAAATGTTTTCAAAACCATCTTGTCTCGCTTTTAGAAAACTAGCTGGCTTACCCGGCTCCGCCGTATGTCCGAATAGAAAATTCCATTTCTTAACCGATCCGGACCAAACTTGGCGCACATACACTTCGGGCCCCGGCGGATGTCACAGTCCACTTTTTGTTATCGATCGATGTCGATGTTATCGATTTTTTTGCAAAATTTGAGCTACGGGGCTGGGAATTGGCACAGAGGGGTAATCGAGCATGCTGATCACCCCCGTGGGGGTGATCAGCATGCTCGATTACACCCCTGTGCCAAATTCCAGCTCCCTCGTTGCCAAATTCCAGCTCCCTCGTTCAGAAATGGAATTTTCTATTCGGAACATACGTACGCACATGCAGACATATAAGCTCCTGCAAGACGAAGGCGGTTGGTCGAGGTGCGACGTGGCTGTGACGCGGCTGTGACGCTGCTGTGACGCAGCCATGTCGCAGCCGCGTTGCACATCGAGCCGACCGCCTTCGTCTTGCAGGAGCTTTAACAGACATACAGACAGACAGACAGACAGACAGACAGACAAACAGACATTCAGCTTTATATATAAGATATATAGTTTGCCTGGAGTCTGTTAAAAAAGTGTCTGGTGAAGAGTGTGGGTAGTAATTTCTGCATACTTACGAGTTTTTAGGACAGAAAAATTTGTAACTTCTGAAGATGAACATCTTTTACGCCGAGATGGTCGCCATTGGAACCGCCTCGTCCTCCGTTTCAAAAAATATATACTTTGCCAGGCATCCTCTGAAAGAAGTGCCTGGGTGAAGGGTGTCTTAGTGATTTTTGGAAATTTTGGAGTTTTTAACATAATAAAATTCATAATGTCTGTAGATGGACATGTTGTACGCCGAGATGGTCGCCATTGGAACCGCCTTGTCCTCCGCTTTCAGAAAATATATACTTTGCCTAGGGTACATCGAAAAAAGTGCCGAGTGAAGGGTGGATGAGACTTTTATTAGGTCGTTCCGAAAGTAATGTCGCTTTTTTTCAAGTAAACACTACATACGGTAGAAGCAAGATTTCTAGAGAGATCTTGGTGGCATTCGATGCAGCATTTCATTCTCTTTCTAATGGTTGTACAACCACTGCACAAAATTCAATAACCTCTCGAAAGATTATCCAAATTTGCGACCCATGCTTTTTGAGAAGGTCAACTTTCACAATTTTTCTAAATTTTCATAACAACCCTCGAAAGGAGTCCAAGTGATGGATGGATAGAGCAAACCTTACAGGAAAGAGCACAACTTTTTCTACTTTCCAGAGCTCGTCATAATTTTTGTAGAGATTTTTCAACGGACCACCGGATTTTAGCAGGCTTGTCCCGGACACAAATGCATCAAACACCAATAAGTTTGCGGATTTGAAACTTATAAAGGTGGATTACGGTTGGACACTAATTTTGCAAAGCCGCAAATGCTGCAAATGAGCGTTTACCGCTACAGATTAGCAACTTTCGGAAAATGCGGGTACAGCCTGGGACGCCCTGGAAAACCTGAATTATGATGACTTTATCCCGGAAAACTTAATGAATCGGAAACAAAAAACAATTTGTAGAAAGAGGAGAAAAAGCTGCGTCGAATGACACCCGAGTTGCCTGCCGGTTGTTGTTCTGTGAGGTTTGGGTTGACCAAATATGGAATTTGATAGCATTAAAAAATTGATTCCAGAAACCTTAAAGGCAGCGTACACCCAAAATTTGAGTTACCGAATTTCCTAGATCTTTCTACACCGGTATATACTGGGCCCAGAAGAAGACCAACTGCGTTGGTCCGGTCTCCCAATGTTGCTTCTGAGCAGAGAAAACCCCCCCCCCCCCTCAATTTTCTTTCACGCTGCCCCTTTTCTTTCGCTCCGCCTCCTCCGGACGAATCCATAACAGCGTAAGCTGCAATTGCAGTTGCAGCTGCTGTTGCAACATCAGTTGCATTTGTTTTGGGTGTACGCTGCCTTTAAGAAGCAAGCTAAGGAAAAGAAAAAATTGTTTTCTGTCCTATAGTGTTTGCTCTATCTACCAGTCACTTCTACTCCTTCGGAGAATAGGTGCAAAAATGTAGAAAAATAGCCAAACTTGACCATAGCAAAAAACATGGGTCGCAGGTTTTGGCACTTTTTCGAGAGCTCATCGAATATTATGCAATGAAGTTACCACCATTAGAAAGAGGATGAAATGCTGCATCGACTGCTTTTAAGATCTTTCAAAAATCTTGATTCCATGAGATGTGGCATTTATTTGAAAAAAGCGACATTACTTCCGGAACGACCTAATATCATGGGAGTGCTCAAGTAGAGGTTTTTTTACCATTGTAAAAAGACGTCTACTTGAGCACTCCCATTATGAGAGTCTCACCCACTTTTCATTTGGCACTTTTTTCAACGGCAAAGTATAAATTTTTTGAAAGCGGAGGACACGACGGCTCCAATGGTGACTATGACGGCGTACAAGATGTTCATCTACAATATATGAATTTTTTTATGTTAAAAACTCGAAAATCTCCAGAAATCACTAGGACATCCTTCACCCAGGCACTTTTTCTAGCGAACCCCAGGCAAAGTGTATATTTTCTGAAAGCAGAGGACACGACGGCTAATGGTGACCATGACGGCGTACAAGATGTTCATCTACAATATATGAATTTTTTTATGTTAAAAACTCAAAAATCTCCAAAAATCACTAGGGCACCCTTCACCCAGGCACTTTTTTGGATGGATCTGAGACAAACTATATATCTCAGAAAAGGAGGAAGAGGCGGTTCTAAAGGTGACCACCGCCGTAAAAGATGTTCACCTGCAAAAGTTAGGAATTTTTTAAGTCAAAAACTAGAAAATGTCTAGAAATCATGTCTAGACCGTCACCAAGCATTTTTTCAACAGACTCCTCCTTTCCTATACATAAACAATTCACGCACAAATATCTCCTTTGCTTAACCTTACCTCACTGTTGATTTTTTTCTCGGCTTTTGGTGAAGGGGGTCACTTTGGTCCCTCTCAGGGGTGAAGAGGGGGTGAAAAAATTTTCATACTATCGCCTGTGGGTACAAGCACCCTTTTACGTCAAAATCTCGGGATGTTCGGTTTTGGCGAGCTGCTGCCTTTAACGAGGCCCTTAAATACTGCTCATCGCCGTAGAAGTAAGTCAGAAGAGAGAAAGTTGCTCCAAAAAGTGAAAACTAAATGGAGGTTTCGCCATCACGTGGGTTAACTAAAGAAAATATGTCCAGAATTGGAATTTGAATCCGCGTTGATGAGTGGAGCCAGCCTAGATTCCATCTACTAAGGCAATTTTTTGAGCTTCAGTTGACTTTTGCAGGGGCACTTAAGTGAGGTCGAGTCAGGGGCTTTGTTATTGCATCAAGTGAATATCACCACGCTCTGGACGTCGCCTTCAAAGCTGACTCATCCTTGAGGAAATTTTTGTTGCGAACGCTTAGACTCAACGCTTTTTTATTGTCTGAAAGCTCCAGTTGGAACTGCAAGGCTGCAAGACTAGTGAAAAATCACATAAGATTTTTGGGATCTGTAATCAAACGTCATCGCAAAAACCAAGAATCCGTAGATCACCTGTCTGAAAAGAATTTTATGCAGTATTCGCGTAATTTTTTCATCGAATGAATGGAAATCGAATACGAATTTGAAAATATTGGATAAACGAGTGTCGACCGAATTTGAAACTCAAAACATTTGGACAAACGACTGCCGAAAGATTCGGAAATTATGTAAAAGTGGAATGAACGAATACTGACAATCAAACGTTAAGGCCCCGTTTTTTGATTATTTTCTCGAATTATAATCGAAAATAGGAAATTCCCGGTTTCGAATATTTTAAATGGAATATATTCGAATGTTTGAATGTACCAAATCAACACTCAACGGTGACGGGATTTGAAGATTCTAAGAGATTTCAGAGATCGGGCGTTACAGTACCTCGTGCGGGCAGCAGCAAACCCTTTGCATTGTATTGCTTTAAGGGTCTGTATTTCACATGCTTACCCATTTGAAAAGGCTATCTAATAAGAAGCGTAGGAATTTACAGCGGGTTGTTGCATAAGCTGAAATTTCTTTTGTATGATTTATTGGTAGATTCCCTTGGTTTCGATGTGCTTAAGTAACCCCTTCCTCCAGCAATTATGTAAAAAGAAAGTGTGTCTTATTGACTCAGTACTACTGATAGAGCTAAAGCTACAGATTCAGTTACATTTCAAAGATGGTTTACCTTTTCACCGTTTCTGGATGTGTAAGCATAACGAATGAGCTTAAATACAAGTTCGTATTCCAGCTGACCGATAGCAGCTGCAGAAAATGCATCGCTCAAAAGCACGTATCTCGTATACTGATCAAACACCTGCAACCTCTTAGCTGATCAACGTCATAATGCCTTTATCAACACAAAAACAACAAAGCGTATAAAGAATTGGTCAGAAATACCAAGACAAACCTACCGAATTTCGTGTAAACTGCGCCGCTATAAGCTCCCATCCAGTCCTGTCATAATTCTGTCTATAATAGCCATTGCGATGAGCATTTATCACCACTGGCATTTGCAAAGATCCCAAATTTATGTGAAGTGGTTCATCTGCAAGTAGTATATCACCAATACAATGATCTCTATAAAATTATAGCAGAGAATTTGTACTTGTGGTAATCTGTGGACGGCGCAGTGTTTTGAATAAAAGAACGAATAAAGTACTCATTTTGTGGCCAACAAAATCAAAAAGCTCGGAGAAGCGCTCACTCTCAATTTCATAAAAAGCAAACAAGTGTTAAACAAATGTTTCTTTGCAAGATTCCACAAAAAAATTCTAGTGAATTCTAACTCTGATATTACTGCTTGGCCGGCTATCAACTACACAACAAGCAGTGCTTGTGCAGTACTATCACAGTGGAAGTGAATTTATGGTTTCCTTATGAGATGCTTGTTCTTTGCCTAAAAATCATTTTCACTATTTATGCAATAATTTTTGTGTTTGTATTAGGTTGATGCAAAAGAAATGGCCGATTTTCCAAATCTTTTTCAGGGTAACTTTTTCCATCAATACTTGTTCTTTACAATAAATGTAGTACATTGTCGCTAAGCTGTTTTCATGCTCTATCTACGGTGCTTGAAAAGGGCCCTCATCTCTTATAAAGTTACTGAGCTTCAAATAACCGCATCCAAATTCAGAATTTCATTGCATTCACTTTTCCAGCCAGAATTTAAGCGCGTATCAATGGGATCTCTTCGAAAATTTAGCTATTGTATGTAATAGAAATTTTCTACATTATGCATACTTAACTGCATTCTTTGAAGTATCCAGACTGAGATATCGGCGCCTAAACATGGGTAGCTGTTGCGGTCATTTTATGACTCATAAATTTCTTCTGAGGAAGTCAATCGCCGGAGCTTTGCTCAATTCTGTAAGCGTAGGCTAGGGCATCCTGTTAGCAGTTTTTGCAAAAACATCCAGCTGTTTAGTACCTAGAAAATCAAAAAATTCTATATTCGGGACTTTGAGGCACACCGAAAAATGTTCAAAAAAGTGAGAAATTTTCAAATTGAGAATTTTCAAATTTCAATTTTTTTCTTTTTCGCAAACTTTTCTGTCCGAATTCTTTTTATTGCGTTTTGTACTACTGGATTGCGGCTACAAGATAGGCTACTTAACATTTATACTAACAAACTTTGAAGGAAGATATGAATTGTCAAATACAAGGTTCTAGCAGAAGAACCTTTTTTATTTTTCAATCCATATTTTTCTGCCCGTTCGTGATATGAGTATAAGTAAATGTGCGCTGTATTGCAGAAGGTTTGCTGCTTCTGATGATTGTTACCGCATTCAGAAATGTGGGTCTTTTAGAAAGTTATAGCACATCAAAGTGAGAATTCGCAGAACGGCCATTCCTTTTGCATCAACCTAATATTTCACTATTTATGCAATAATTTTTGTGGTTGTATTTGATTACTAAGCATTTGTAGATGTAGCACATCTCATCACACTTGCGATAGTCACTTCTGAAAATAGATTTGAGGAAGAAGTTGAACGTCGAAAACATAGAACTTTAGAATAGAATGACCCATGACCAGAACTTGACGAGGCTGGCAAAAAAATCACCTTTTAAAAAGAACTGGCCTCTGCTTTTAAGTATGGGATTTCCCCCTTAGTCGTATCAAACTTACAAATGATTTATTTGGAGTGCGCTCTGTAGGTCCAATTTGCAGTTTTACTTTCTAGGAGGAAGGGACCAATTTTGTTACCAAGTTCTTGATCTATTAGGTTGTCTCATAATTACATTACCCTAAAATCCCGCCAACAAGTCCGGCCTTATCTGCATCTTTTGACACGAAAAATTGATAAAAAATCGCCCTCTGCGCTGCCAGAAGTCTAGCAGATGAATTCTCCCATCAGACCGCAGCATCGCAGCGCAGAGGGCGATTTTTTTATCAATTTTTTGTGTCAAAAATTAGATAAGGCCGGACTTGTTGGCGGGATTTTAGGGTAATGCACGTTCTTCTAACCTCTTTTTGAGAAAGCTGATTCTTAAAGAAAGACTATTTTTCTCCATAACTTTCTATAGTATCTGAAAGAGCGATTCTTCTAGTTTCTAACGCCTTCGTTAGCGCCTTCGTTTTCGTAAACCTTTTTAGAAACCGGAGTTCCAAGCCTTCAAAGACAAGTGACTAAAACATGAATTTTTCCTTTCACTCTCTTTGCTCTAAATACATAAAAGATAGACGGAGTTTTTTCAAAAAATATGCATAACGATCTTGAAGTTTTGTGCGTTTCACAAAACTCTCATCAGTATTCAATTTTTGAAAAATCCTGAACCGAAAAATCCTGTCTCGAATTTGACTGCTCGCTGAGGCTCATCTATCTTATATATAAAGCTGAATGTCTGTTTGTCTGTCTGTATGTCTGTCTGTCTGTCTGTCTGTCTGTATGTCTGTCTGTACGTATGTTCCGAATAGAAAATTCCATTTCTGAACCGATCCGGACCAAACTTGGCACACATACACTACGGGCCCCGGCGGGTGTCATAGGCTACTTTTCGTCATCGATCGATATCGATTTTATCGATTTATCGATTTTTTTGCTAAGTTCACCTACGGGGCTGGGAGTTGGCACAGGGGGAGGGGGGGGGGGGCAATCGAGCATGGGGATTCCGAATACAATATTGGTTTTCAGGATTATCGATTACTTTTATCGATTTTATCGATTTTTTTGCAAAGTTTGAGCTACGGGCCTATGCCAACTCCCAGCCCCCTAGCTCAAACTTTGCAAAAAATCGATAAAATCGTTAAAAGTAATGGACGATCTTGAAAACTAATATTGTATTCGTAATCTGCATGCTCGATTACCCCCCTGTGCAAACTCCCAGCCCCGCAGGTCAAACTTTACAAAAAAATCGATAAAATCGATAAAAGTAATGGACGATCCTGAAAACTAATATAGTGTTCGTAATCAGCATGCTCGATTACCCCCCTGTGCAAAATCCCAGCCTCGCATGTCAAAATTTACAAAAAATCGATAAAATCAATAAAAGTAATCGATAATTCTGGAAACTAATATTGTATTCGGAATCCCCATGCTCACTTCCCCCCCCCCCCCTGTGCCAACTCCTAGCCCTGTAGGTGAACTCTGCAAAAAAATCGATAAAAATCGGTAAAATCGACATCGATCGATAACGAAAAGTGGACTGTGACACCCGCCGGGGCCCGAAGTGTATGTGTGCCAAGTTTGGTCCGGATACGGCGGAGCCGGGTAAGCCAGCTAGTTCTGCATAAAATTTTCAGGCAAAAAGCGACTGTACAAATTCATGTACATCTAAAGTGGACCTAATGCAACTAATGCTAGGAAAACAGCAGTATTTCATCGTCTTTTCGAAAAAAAATTACAATCGTGTCAAAAAGGCAGTTTTTCGGATCTTCCAAAATGCTAGAAAAAGTGGGCGCTTGTTGTAAAATTTCATCATAGAAAAAGGCGTAAAATCCAAACTTCACTCTATAGCACAAGCGACCAGCAGCTATATAATGAGCAAATTTGCGCGATCCTGATACATTTGAGAGCAAGTTATGCTCTCTCAAAGTAACTTTCTCTAAAAAATGTCTCAGAAGTTTTTAGGCTAGAAAATCTTCTTAGAGCATCTGCGATCTAACAAAAACCAGCTTTATGTAGTCAAAGGTTTGCTGTTTACAGTAATATATTGCGCTCAAAAAGACGGTTTTGGATAAGAATTACAAAGAATTATCTTTAACAAAAGTCCGAACTCAAAAAACGTGCATTAATTATGAGGGAACCTGATACATCAGAATTTGTATCAAATAAAGGTCTTATAGATTTTCACCGTTTTGCCTCCCCCAACAATACCTTATAATTTTGTTGTTTTTTAAGTAGACTCTGCGTTTCGACAGAGCGAAGAAAGCTTTACAAAACTGCACTTTGCATTTACTTAAATTTTGTTGTACATGAAGTGCGAAGGCAAAATCTAAACAGGCTTCAATGGCCGAAAGATCAAGAAAAGAACATATCTACGTTCAAAATTTTTTACGGATCTTGTTCAGGCATGTACTGCCAATATCTGTTATGTACATACTTGCCTTTTTTTTCATGGTCAAAAATGGAGAAAGAACTAATTCTCATGATTTCGTCAAAGCGATTGCCCCCACTTAGGAAAGTTCATAGTCTGAACATTTGGAAGTATAACCATGAATTTTTGGCCATTTACATTTAACAGTTCTGAGAAATAAAATTTAACATAGAAATCCCCGCAACAGGCAACTTTTTTCGCACTTTGGCCTGTTTTGATGTATGCATAATTTTCGAGTTTCATCCAAGGAAAGATTGAGCAAATTTGCAAATAATTATCCGAGAAAGAGCGTATCTGTACTAGCAAATAAGGATTGAGGAAGAGATTGAAAACGATGAAATTTATGGAACACCTGAATAGCAAGCATTAGGTAGGTCATTTATGTAAACACTATGAGAAAATTATGTAAACTAAAGGCTTTGCCATTCTCAAGGCGGTTTAGGGTGACAGTTGCCCCCTGAGTTGATGCACGCTCTCTATTCAGCGCTTCCATATTACTTCGTGATCTGTCTCTGCTTTAAGCGCATGTACACATCGAATTTGGTGTCATCTCCTTGAATGTGTGCTGCAGACGCAACAACACGTTTCTATTTCCATTAAAGGAGAAGTGCAGGAACAGCATATGCCGATAATGTAACAGCTTGTCAAGGGAATGCGTATGTGCATATGACCCTTACAACACCCCTTTGCTTTTCCCTAGGACAATCTCCAGCTTAAAATTAGCCATACAAGTTCTTTGCCCCGTACACGAATGACTACAACATGTTGTTTCACAGCGCGCGAAATTCAAAAATTATGCCATACAAGGCGTGTTTAGCGCACAGTTGGCCACATAACATCCCACAACTTAGACAGTTCAAGGACATTTAACATGCATTATTGCTGTGATTAGTATTTGAGAAAAAGTCGAAAAGACTTGTGTTAAGTAAAGCCTTTTTCTGCTCCAACAAACAGCTGGCCAGAAAGGCTTATTGGCCAAATGACTGGCTTGAACTATAATGTTGAAAAGCTCACATGAGTTTCAGACTTTTTTGGCATACGGACTTTCCTTCGTTCAAAAATCTATCGTTCACTAAGACACCAATTTAAGTGTTCTTTATTTCATTTTTTGCCTTAGAACGCAATCGCCTGCTAGAAATCGCGCTTTACTTCAATGACCATACGAGTTCTAGCATTACGTTTTCTCTTGAATTTTTATAATGTACATGCTAATCTTTTTGCTAATTTTCCTACTTCAGCAATAGTTCGTCATATTTAAGTGTTTATTTCGAAGTTGTCGAAGGATCAAGCATTTCAGTCTTTGTTGTTATAAATTTTTCATCACCTAAAAATGTTAAGATAAAGTCAATAGGAATTTCAATGCTATTAAAGAAAAAATTTCGGAGGGGTCAAAGAACAGTTCGTTTAAAGGAAAGACCCCAAAAGCCAATTTTTCTGAGCCGACGTCCTTGCTTTTTCCTCCTTGAACTATTTGCAGATATTGTTCTTTCTTTCTGAGCCACACACGAGATTGGTAACTGATTTAATCACTCCACGGCTAACGTTTCGGCAAATCGCCTTCGTCAGAGCCTGTAAGGGACAAAATGATTTGCAGCCGATTCGAACAAGTATCACAGCTGAACAGATGAAGCGCTAAACCTTGCTTTCGATCACTAATTCAGCTGCACGCACAAGCACGTAACCTCTGGATTACGACGATACTTCCCTATTAAAGAGAAAGTCGGAGGTTCACGTCGTCCACTACTGGAGAAAGTTGGACTGGTTAGACGTGTATGCAGACCGCTCTTTATATACTGCTAGATCAGAATAACTGATCTAGATAAGGTGAGAGTTCATGCGTAATTGCTAGGTTTTCCTCTTTTCGATTCATTTTTGGGTTCTTTGTGTGAATCCAAAATGTTTCCAGACACTTACGTGCCTGTGTTTGGGATTCATGTGCTAAGATTCCACCGAAATTCCAAAGTTTGAGTCTGCATGCTGCAGCACTCTGTGATTGTCTAGGGGTGTCGTTGTACGTGCTCTATCTCTGCCGTCTAAATGTTCTTTAATGCAAATACATAGTGGTCGTGCCGTTTCACCTATGTATTCGTCGCCGCAAATCGTGCATGAGATTAAGTAGATGACTCCAGTCGTCTTGCAATCCCCTTCTCTGCCTGTAGGGCAGATTATACAATTGGGGGTGAGGCAATTGCGATCATACATGCGATTGCGAACTAAAATGGTCTTGTTATTTGTGGTATTTCTACAGCCGTAACCAGATTTTCAAATCCTACTCGCTTCAAGCATTGTCGTAATGATGATTAAAAACCATTTAGTTCGCAATCGCATGTATGATCGCAATTGCCTCACCCCCCAATTGTATAATCTGCCCTACAGGCAGAGAAGGGGATTGCATAACGACTGGAGTCATCTACTTTCTCATGCACGATTTGCGGCGACGAATACATAGGTGAAACGGCACGACCACTATGTATTTGCATTAAAGAACATTTAGACGGCAGAGATAGAGCACGTACAACGACACCCCTAGACAATCACAGAGTGCTGCAGCATGCAGGCTCAAACTTTGGAATTTCGGTGAGAATCTTAGCACATGAATCCCAAACACAGGCATGTAAGTGTCTGGAAGCATTTTGGATTCACACAAAGAAACCAAAAATGAATCGAAAAGAGGAAAACCTAGCAATTACATGAAATCTCACCTTATCTAGATCAGTTATTCTGATCTAGTAGTATATAAAGAGCGGTCTGCATACACGTCTAACCAGTCCAACTTTCTCCAGCAGTGAACGACGTAAACCTCCGACTTTTTCTTTAATAGAAAAGTATCGTCGTAATCCAGAGGGTACGTGCTTGTGCGTGCAGCTGAATTAGTGATCGAAAGCAAGGTTTAGCGCTTCATTTGTTCAGCTGTAAAGATACTTGTTCGGATCGGCTGCAAATCGTTTTGTCCCTTACAGGCTCTGACGAAGGCGATTTGCCGAAACGTTAGCCGTGGAGTGAATAAATCAGTTACCAATCTCGTGTGTGGCTCAGAAAGAAAGAACAAAATCTGCAAATAGTTCAAGGAGGAAAAAGCAAGGACGTCGGCTCAGAAAAATTGGCTTTTGGGGTCTTTCTTTTGAGGCAGAGCTTAGAATTAAAGAGAAAACAAACAAGCTAGGTGTAGACGTTACGCAAAACTCTCGGCACAAACTCTTTACACGAACTTCCTCCATGACAATTTTGTCCTGACTGGGAGTGGAACAGAGCTACGCCTGAGACGCCGGTATTCTGCACGCGCAAATTGCCAACATTCTAATCGTAGCTATTCTTTCACGCACAATTTTATCTATTCTTGGCACAACAAGGACACTATGTGTAAGCAAAGGATTACTTGAGTGTGCAGCTAAACGGCTCGGGCTCACAAAACAGTTTTTTCACTCGGTCTCCGCTCTCAACTGAACTCATCTTGTACACACTTACTTGCTTTCAGCCATTCCAATATAGTGTCGCCTTTTTTAGTTTTGAGCCATATGGGTACATCCCATTTGTAACTATAAATAGCATTAAGCAATCTTACGGTACAAATCCTTGATTGAACAGCCTGCAACCTCTGACGAGGAGAACGATATTTTTCATGTTCTTGAATAGAAGTATTGAGCGTGTACCGCTGCTGTGTTATCTCCAACGTATCGCTTGAAAATCTTGCGGTAACCAAAGGATATCCCATCTTAAACGAAAATCACAGTGGTTCGTAATACAGGTTACGCTTACCATTTTCGTCCATTGGGTCCCAAAATTCTTTAGATCTAAAGATGATCCGCTTGGTCCTTTGACTCCTTCACATACATCAGACAACGCTTGCCAAAGGTCTTCACTTTTGGTGCATTTGAAGGAAAATTTTTTGAGATAATGCTAAACAGAACTCTGAAAACCTTTGCATCTGTACTTCCACATATCTTCCACATCTTACTTTTATTGTAAAATTCAAAGACGTATGCTGGCAAGCTTAAAGGAACATGACAAAAGAACCAAGAAAACGCATTCACAGATTCTTGAAGATAATGCAAGAAAATCTTGCTTGAATAGTACAACATCATACGTTGGAAAATTTTGGCGATAATTGTACCCTGTCACAACAGCTTCTACAAAAAAGACTACTTCTTCCAAACTTTGTTTGCAGCTAATATGGGATACGTAAATATTTCAACGATTGACGGGCCATCAGTTTGAAAATAGTGTTTTGTAAATATTAGGTTGTCCGGAAATTAGTGTCCGTTTTGAATTTCAACCGCAACAAGTCACATACTTCTCATTCCTGAGTAGCTTTCAAGATACCATTCGATAGAGCAAAGCAAGCTCTACAGGATGGTTATCTTGCTTTAACAACAGCTCTGATCCACCGCGAGTTTTGAGACAAAAACTAAAAAAGATTCAACTACCCGAAAAATCGAGAAAAGTCATAACTCAGTCCATAAGAATCCTGCAGAAATTCTAACTTGCTCACGTAAACATTATCCACATAAGACATATCGCTATTGCCGTATTTTTCCTCTGTTCGAAATCGAAAAAACGAAAATGTTCATGCCTTTGCCAAAGTGATGCGTGTCGTCCCCTCATAAGTAGATGTGTACTACAAATCTGTAGAAGTACAAACGTAAATTTTCAGCTCTCTACAAGCTTTAGTTCTCGAGAAATATCGAATATAGCTTTCATTAGTCAGGTGGTCCAAACTATTAGGTTGTGTAATAAGTTCGTTCGCATTTTTTGTTTCGATTTTTTCTCAATATTTTACAAAGCATTTGGCATAGTGTTAGTATGCGTTCGGAAGCTCTAAGTTTGCTCTACCAAAATACTATCATTATATTCTCAGTTTTTTAAAATTTGGATAATACATTCCACTACAAACCGAAAAATCTGAAGTGGCAAAAATCCCATTTTTCGACATCTTTTTTCTTCCTTAGTTTTCCCTTTATTCTTTGTTGAAATTTATTCAAAAAGCTTGACTACGAAGAAAAACAACTGACTAACAATTTGTGCATTTACAGATACTATTTACAATTGCCCATTTCCTTTCACCGACCGTTTAATGCAATTTTTGCAAAACTCGGCCTAGCAAGGCTTTGCCGCAGCGGTGTTCGTTATCTCGCGTCCGTGGGCTATGTGTCCCTCGAATTCTGAATTTTTGACTATATAAGCCATTCATTCGATGATTTAGCGATCATAGACCACATGTCTGCCAATTTCTGGATTATTCTACCATCTTTCTTTAGAGGTGCCTTCAGATGCTTAACGTTGACACCAAAAAGACATAAAAACATACCTATTTTTAAGCTTACAATATGAATTGTTTTTGAAAGGTTTTAGCACTACAGGTAATCTGCGGGAGCTATAGTATTCTATTTATACATGTCGCAAAATTTTTGGGCTGTTTCTTAAGCGTTCAAACCCATTCAAGGTGCGGCATAACATAGTTGTCGAAAATGGGATTTTTGCCAATTCAGTTTTTTCGGATTGTAGTCGACTTTTTTATTCAACTTTTTACAAACTGGGAATATAATGATAGTATTTTGGTAGGGTAGACTTAGAGCTTCCGAATGCATACTAACACTATGCCAAATGTCTTGTAAAATACTAAGAAAAAATTGAAACAAAAAATGCGAACGAACTTATTACACGACCTAATAAAATTCAAATTTCTCGAGAACTAAAGCTTGTAAAAAGCTGAAAATCCACGTTTTCACCTCTACAGATTTGTAGTATACATCTACTTATGTGGGACGACACAGCATCACTTTTGCAAAAGTATGAAAATTTTCGTTTTTTCGATTTCTAACGGAGGAATAAATACGGCAATTTCGTACATATATGTCTTATGTGGATAGTGTTTGCGTGAGCAAGTTAGAATTTTTGTGGAATTTTTACGAACTGAATTATGATTTTTCTTGATTTTTCGGGCAGTTAAATCTTTTTAGTTTTTGGCTCGAAACTCGAGGTGGATCAAAGCTGTTGCTAATGCAAGACTGCAATCTTGTAGTGCTTGCTTTGCTCTATCGAATGATACCTTGAAAGCTATTCAGAAATGAAAAGTGTATGACTTGTTGCGGTTGAAATTCAAAACGGATAATAATTTCCGGACAACCTAATAGTTTGACACGGTATTTAATCGTATCATCAGTTTTGTTGAGCCTTGTACATACGGTTGCAAACAGAGTTTTTTTCGACCCCTAAAACTCTTTTGACGCACGATCAAAGACTTGTAAAAAATTGATAAGAAACCCAAGCGTTTTTGTAATTCTATTCCATAGATGCAAGCGTAACTGATTCACACACAGATGAAATCTTTGTGACGATATAACACTATTTCTTTCTACAAAGTTTAGAGAGAGACTTTTTGCAGGTGGCACTTCAGAGCTTAACAAGTTTACAACCGAGCCATTTTGAACAAAACTCTCGCTAACTTTCCTCGCGCATTTGGCTCGTGCATACGCGCGTATGCACGGAGTCATTATCTGGGAGGAGTCTTTTTGACGTTCATCTATGTACGTGCCGACTTCTTCGAGAATTACGACGTGTAAAGAGCTTATCAAACGCAGTTTCGCTTGCGTCAACATCTTCACTCCTTCGCTGGACTCTGCATCTCTTATGCGAACCAGCTCTCTGGTCACTTTTCCAGGGCAAGCCTTATCAGGAATTACACATTCAAAATTTTTGCATTGGTTCCCCCTCTAGTAAGTCATACAACAGCTAGGTCTGGAAAATCTCCCTAGAAAAAAGTTATAATACTAGGTGTTTTTCGCTTGGTTCATCCTTGTTTGCTCTCAGTACAGCCTGTATAGAGTTCTTACTTTTTCGAAAAAACATAATAAGCATATGTTAGGTTGGCCCGAAAGTTCTTGTCGCAGCATTTTCGAAAATTCATAACTTCTATTTCTCCAACCGATTTAACGCTTTTATTTTTGTATGAAAGAGTAAGTCATGCTCTTTATAATGACATCTTAGCTGCTTACTAATGGCCATCCGCTGCACAGATAGGAGCGGTAAAAGAAAATTAGTCAAAAATCGAATTCTCTATGGAGGTTCATAAAAAATCGGAAACTTGCAACAAAAATTAGAGCAGTTGGTATTGTAGTTTCTTTCAACAACTCTTTTCGACAGTGGAAAGTTTGCGCTGATTGAGTGTCTCTATGAAAAGTTACGATTTTCGAGCAAGCAATATAAAAGGGCGAATTTGATTTATTTTGCATTTTTCAGGGAAATCATAACTTTTCGTAGAGACGCTCAATCAGCGCAAACTTTGCATTGTTAGAAAGAGCAGGTGACAGAAACCTATGATACTGACTGCTTCGATTTTGTTGCAAGTCTCCGATTTTTTATAACCCTACACAGAAAATTCGAATTTTGGCTAATTTTATCCTATCGCTCCTATCTATGCAACAGATGATCATTAGCAAGCAACTAAGATGTGTTTATAAAGAGCTTTCAGGCCAGTCTAGTATTTACCACATTAATTATGGTCAAATTGGCTGTCTAAATTTCAAACAGCTGCCGCAACGCCCTGCGTTCTGCATGACAAACAAGCTACTAGTAGTATAACTGTAACTGCATAGAATTCACGTTAAGACTTAGAACATAAGCATACACTAGACTTGGGTAAATTCGTTAAGTTTTTCATCGAATGAATGAATACTGAATGAATTCGGGAATGAAAAATCTGAATAAACAAATATCGAATAAATTCGAAAACAAAAATCTCGAATAAACAAACATCGAATAAATTCGAGATTTAAAAATTCTCGAATAAATGAATTCCGAATAAAATCGGAGAATCAAAAATATTGAATGAATGAATATCGATTATATTCGAACACTGAGAGTCGAATTTCGAAGAAATATTCGAATGATTTATCGAATAACTAGAGCAGCCAGATCTGAAACTGGCTGACATATTCGGCTAAAGCCGATCCACTCATAATCAGCCCCCTCATATCCCCTATATCCACTCCTAGCTCCAGATTTGCCAAGAATCGGTGAAATCGATGAAATAGTTTTTATTTCCAACCTGCACCCTCATTCACCTCCTGTACCAACTCCCAGCCTCGTAGCTCAAGATCTTTCAAAGACCAATAAAAGCATCAAAGTAAATGTCTATTCACAGTCAGCACCCTCATTTACTCTTCCCTCCCCCTGTACCAAACTCTTAGCCTCGTAGCTCAAAATTTTCAAAAGATTCGATGAATTCGACAAAATAAAATTTGACTCATAATCAGCACCTCCCTCTTACCCCCCATACCAACTCCCACCCCATAGCTAGCATCTTGTAACTGGCAAACCGCCTACGACTGTCGGGGGTGAAGTAGGTGCGGGCCTGTCATATTCAAAGCTCGCATTTCTCAATGTGGACCATCTTCGTCCGGCTTTAGTCTTCACCATAGTTGATAAGCTGATAGCTCCCGGTGTTATAGTGCCTACAAGCCTCCGTGAAAATCTTGGATGCACTGTGATAACTGTGAACTATCATGTACTATCTACTGAACAAAACTTTTGCAAGGTGATATGACTGCAAAATTCCGCAATTGTCTAACCCTCCACTACAGGCAATGTCCTTTACTCCAATTACACCAATTCGCAAAAAAGCTCTAAGGTAAAGAATTGATGCAGTTGTAAGCATGAGTTTTACAAGCACTCAGATAATCGCCGGGGGCAGGCGGCCACGCGATTTATGGGCAGGCGGGCACCGGAAAAATAGTTTGCTGATCTCTTGCGGTCCGCTTGCAGATATTCGGAAGGATTTTGGCAAAATTTTAGACCAATGCTCAAAGAACTATCGCGGTTTCCTTATAGATTAGCTGCGGCGCAGTGGCCGCATTCTCGCGGACTCTCCGCGAGAATATGCAAAATTAATGGGGACCGCACGGTCCTTTATGGAGGACCGCGCAGTCTCCGGGTACTTTTCGCTGAGAGAAAGTGCCCCAAACTTAAGTAATTAAACCACCGGTGCCACCTCTGCCACACGGCAGCGTGGCGTTATACTACAAGGGCCTCGTCGCCAAAGCTCGCCGCCATAGTCGGCACGCGCGCCGCACTGGCTTACGGTAGTCCGCACCCGTTTTGCACCGGTGCGCGTGAGCCATGAGGCAATCGCGTGAACGCAGTCTCGCCCAGCTTTGCCGCGCGCGACGTCGCGCCGTGATGTCGCGACTTCTATCAAAAGTTACATGAGACTACTCAGAAAAAATTGCTCTTTCAGATTTTGACGTGCGGCATCTTCCGCCGCAAAGCGATAAGGAGTAAAATTCAAAAAAACTTGTCCATTTTCTTCTTTTTTCATTTACTTTTATTTCTTTATTTATTTTCTTTTCTATTATAGTTTCATTTTCTTTTATTGCAAATAAAAAATAAAGACTGTTCTACTCCAAAACTCTTCCAATGGTTTCGAGTTTGTTTCTTTTTTATTTTATTTACCGTTTGTTTTTGTCATGATACGGTTACTTGGTTGTCATTTCAAACTGTGACCTGTCGCCTAATTGCTGTTTGAGATTATTACCCCTCGGCAATGCTGACCTGCGGTCTTAACTTGCTAGGACAAATGCCTATGGCCGTAAGAAGACCTCCGTGATGCCGAAGCATGTATAAAAAAAGGATCATTATGATTACTCAGCAAACATGTTCCATTATATATATATATAATATATATACTAATATTCCTTTTACTGCTCCTCCGCTCCTTATTTTTTCTTTTATTCTTCCAGCGAGGGCAGTCAGATAAGTTGCTTACAAAAAATGTTCCAATTTGAATGTTTATTTATTTATTTATTGAATGCACATGACGTGCGCCAAAAGTAAATGAACAAACAAAATGAAAAGTGTAGGCAGTTACCAACTCAAAAACAATCAGCAAGCATTTTAACATCAACTGCATTGTCACCCTCCCCACTACAACAACTGTTATGCGATGCTAACTCTTTTATCAGATCATTTGACTCATAGCCACTTAGTGTTGCCTCATAATGTTCAGTAGTTGGTATGCAGCTCTCATTCACATGGTAAACAGCCGATAAAGAAGAGCAGATACCGAGGCGAATGGGCTAAACCATGCGTGCCTCAGAGGCATAATTCCTCCTAACACTAGCACTTCCTAGTTCCCATTGCTCATCTTAATGAATCAACTGTAAGAACTATCCAACACGAATTCACGAAAATGACATTGCTTGTGAGAAAACCAAGGTGTATGGAACTGAACCATGCTTATCTAGGTACTGAGTTCCCTCTAATTTTTTCTCTGTGATACCTCAGTGGTAATTGGCAACGGGAAGATACTGTAGCTAGGATCGAAACACAATACAAAGAGTGAGTATGCTTAAACAGTAAGCTGGAGAGGGAGAGGCATGTGAGTTGATGTTAGTATCAGTATCGGTATAGAATTAACATGAATGATACTCATCGCTGTAGAGAAGAGCCCGTCGATCAAGCTGAAAGAAAAAACTCTTGGGAAGAAACTTTACTATAAATTCAAATATACTACAAATCAACTTTCCTGAGCTTGAATTTGAAGCTGGCACTGCAACTGGCACCTAGAACTTCCGAGGGTAGTTGTTGTAATTACCTTGCTCCTCGATAAAACAGGGTGTTGTAAGCTAGCAAAAACTTTCTTCTTTTGAGATGTGTATAATGCAGATTGAAATAATTGGAGCGTAGACTACAAGGCATGAAAACCCAGTATTTGCTTGCAGAGAGTATAAGCTCTTTTCGTAGTATTTTGAAGCAAAGGACGAGATCAAGCTCTTTTCTACGATGCTCCAAACTATTCATGTTCAATTTTTTGATTCGGTCGGCATAGGAAGGCATATTAGTCATAGCTAATTCTCTTCAACATCTTAGATACAGTAGACGGGTAAACGTGTGCTGGACCTTTAACCTCCTGACATCTTTTCTCAAGTAAGGGCTTCACACTTGCGAGCAGTATTCTAGATGAGGTAAAACAAAAGCGTTGTATAATCGTTTGAGGATCTGCGGATTTTGAGTATGTATGGATCTGAAGATAGCAAATAGCACATTGTATGCCTTTTTGACTACCATATCTATATGTTGTGAGAATTTGAGAGAAAGATCAAGAATTATCCCTAAGTCTTTGGCTACTTTACATTGAGACAGCGTAAACCCATTGATTTCATAACTGATTCCTGGGTTCCCTCCGATATGCATCACTGAACATTTGCCCAGGTTGATGGGAAGATCCCATTTTTCTGACCAGACCAATAGTCTTTCAATGGAAACTTGCAGCGCTCTATGTATTTCATCACAATTTGAAGAATCGTAAATTCCATAAATTTTTACGTCGTCGGCATACATCTGTACCTTGATAGAGGTTGAGGTTACCAGAACCGATGGCAAATCTGACGTATACATCAGAAAGAGCAACGGCGAAAGTGCACCCCCTTGCGGGACTCCACTCTGACAGTGTTTTCTTTCTGAATAGTTTAGTTTTACTTTGACAGTCATGTGTCTTCCACTCAAATATGCTTTAAGCCAGGCAAGCACATTTCCGGATATCCCAAGATTTCTAAGCTTGAACAAAAGCTTCTCATGACACACCTTATCAAATGCTTTTGAGAAGTCAATAAAAATAACATCAACAATCTGATTCTTGTTGAGTGCCATGGTCCAATCAAAAACGGTATCAGCTAGATTAGTAGCAGTACCAGCTCCTTCAAGAAAGCCGTGTTGCTCTTTGGGGATTATGCCTGATTTCAAAAGCCATGATGTGAGCACATCGCACAAAATCTTCTCCATAACCTTGACCGAGGAAGGAGTGATGCTTATCGGGCGGAACTCTGATATTAGATGAGCAGAAGGAACTTTCGGTATTAGTGTGATCAACGACTCTTTCCACACTCTAGGTATCTCACCGGAGAGCATGGATATGTTGAAGATGTGCGCCAAAGGCTTACACAAGGCTTCAGCACATTCTCTATATACTATCTGGGGTATACCATCATAAGGTTCAGCCAATGTTGGCTTTAATCTTTTCAAAACTTTCCTTATTTCTGAAGGCTCAAAATATATATAAATAAATATAAATATATAATATAGTCATGATTTTTTAGGTCCCAGCACAGACTGGCAGTAGTGAAGAGCCTTCGGAAGCTCATCCGTCGTCGAACACAACTGCCAGTCAGAAACATGGAGTTATTTTGCGGAGAAAAAGAAGTAAGCAAATACGGCAAACACCCAGTGATGATTTACAATATTCCAGGTAATCTACCTTTTCCTTTTCTCTGTGCGAGCCTTATTCTTAATTTTTTGTCTCATTTTATTTAGAAACACCATTGTCCTACGTATTCATGTATCAACGTCGCACAACCAATCCAGAAGTTTTTGCATATTTATGCACACACTGCAAACGGAAAGGTGGAAGAAGTGTGTTCATACTGGTCAGAATATTGTAGTTTCATATTTTCAACGATTTTTGCTTGTTTTTAGGTGAAAGGTGATCTCTTCCTCAGCGATCCTGCTGGATTATCGCATGTATGTGCTCCTTTAGAACGAACTAAAGATAAAGCCGAACGCATGTCTTATGAAGTGAGGAAGTATATACGAGCACACTATACATTACATCTAAAAACTGCAATTTTTTTAGAGTCTGCAGGAAAGGAGACAGCATCCGGCTGGAAACCACCTAGGAACACAAATGTATTGGATAGCAGTCATTGGAAAGATTGAGAGGATGAGCCGGGGTGACGCGGACAAGAGGATGAAAGTTCTGGATTACTACTTCATAACAAAGAAGAAATACGAAACACGATAAAGTTTTTTCTCAACATCAAAACCTTGATTTTTCTTTGCTGTTCAAAACACTAGTTGCATTTCGCAGGGCAGTACTAAGAGAAAGCACAGCCGCGGATATAGACAACGTGCCGGAATTTCTGCGTAGAAGACCTGACTGCAGCACTTTTCTGCAAGCTCAAAGTCCATCTATGCACATTTACTACTGTCAAGATGTTGTGGCGGTAGGTAAAAATACTTGAAACGTTTAATAACTAGAATAAAGTTGTGTTATTGTAGGAAGCAGTACGGAATAGACTGTCCGCACTAATAGCTGATGGAATCCATCAATTAAACCCGAGAAAAAGCACAAGAGCTGCCACTAATATATAGCGGGGCCAGCTTTACACGATACATGCAGTGTGTAATGGGAAATTTGAGGTGATGATATGGTAGCGTTTATTACTTGACTTTGGAAATATGTTTAGACGCCACTGCTGTTCGCAATGATGCGAAACAAAAGGGAGCAGGATTATCTCAATATTTTCGCAAAATTGAAGGAGGCGCTTCAGACGGCTAATTTCGACGGCGAGTCACAACTGCAGATAGTATCAGACTATGAATTGGTACTAATTCTCTTTTCAAACAACCGAAACTCAAGGCTGCCATAAATGCTGCTAAAGCGAACTTTCCCCTCAGCCCTGTCGAAGGGTGCGCCTGGCATGTATCTCACGCATGGGTGCGAAAAAGAGATGCGCTGGGGATTACTCGATACTTGAAAGGACGAAGCAAATCTTAGGGGGTGCTTCGATGGTGGCGAACCATCAAAGGCTTGCCGTTTCTCCTGAGCATTTGGCATCGGTTCGAGCTTTGAGGGATCCACCCGTGGGAAGAGATCATCCAGCCTATCAGCCATGTATGTATTTCCTAACTTACTTCGAAGACACCTGGCTGGAAGGGCCGTTTTCTACCATGTGATGTAAGCATGTGGTGCGGGTTCAGCGCACCACGCTTTTTGAAAATTATCACGGGTAAGTCTCAAGTGGTGACTCTTTCGGTAATATTTTATTTTTAGGCGACTTCGCAGGTTATGTGGAGAAAGAAAATATCCCAGATACGCTGAACTCGTACGTGTACTTCAGGCATTTACCACGATCGCGTTGGTCGGCTTAAAGACGTCAGATGAGATAAGTTGCTGAACTGACTCAACATCTGATGCAAAAATCAAGGTTATCAATCACACAAGGAGATTACGACTGAGAGATAGAGAAAGACGAAGAAAAGTAACCGCCGCCATGTCAGAATTCTAGGATCTTCGAAGAAACACTGTAATTACAGCCGCAGAAGCCGAAAAATATTGCCGTAAGATGGCTCGCTTTACATCCGACAGAGCTATATAGAGTATTACAAGAACGAAAAATTCTATTTACTTACAAGGGAACCGTGTCGAGTCGAAGTGGCTTTTTCAAATGAGACCCATACTGCTTTAAAGAGTATTAAGCGGTGATTCCAAATCTACTTCCCAAATCTACCAAGCGCCTCTGGACGCCGAGTTATGACCGTTCTTCGGAACGAAAAACGAATGCAGAATTTAGGTAAAATTGATTGTTACAATCTTTCCAACGCTCAGATAAAGCAATGTTAAGTGTTAGCATACAAAATAAAATGTATCCATTGCACAAACAGCTCTGATACTCGACACTGGACCATTTGAGCAAATTTGGGCTATTTTGCTTCAGTTTTGCGTTCAATTTTTTGACCCAAAAAACGAGCATAACTCGGCGTCCAGAGGCGCTTGGCAGATTCGGAAAGCAGATTTGATATCATCGATTAATGCTCTTCAAAGCAGTATGGGTCTCATCTGGAAAGGCCACTTCGACTCGACACGGTTCCCTTGTTAGCTGTATATTTTGAAAATGTTTATAAAAGCTTATTTATTTGACGTCACTAAGCGTCGCCTTGGAATTTGGTTTGATAAAAGATTGTCATTTCAATACTCTTTTGTTGTTTTTGCAAGTAGAAGGAATTGAAACTATTAGGCTGGAAACTAAGTTTTGCAACTGGTTTCAGAACTTCACTCTCTTTGGATATGGCTCACTCAAACTTTGGCATTATGTAAAAGGCAATGTGAGCTACAAGTGAGCACAAATTGTCTAAATCTTGAACACGAATTAGAAAAGTTTCAGGCGTTTTTCGAAAACTAGTGAAATAGCTAAAATGAAGCCTTTGACAGCCTAGACCATGCGCGGTAATCCGGAATCGTCTGCAAATTATTGCAGGAGGTTGACTCCTCTGGCCTAGTAAGAAAGAAAAATTTAGGGGCATATCGAGATTTGGCGTCCTCATAAAGTCGAACGAGTCGATGTACGCAAGAGCTGCTGGGGACGATCGTCAATGACTAAAGAGTCCGAAGCTCAAATTCCGCCGAGACTTTACATAGTAAAGTACATACATACAGTACATATATTTACATGTGGCTCCATCTACCAGATATTGTCTTCATTATCGAAACATGGCTAAGCTCGCGGATTTCTAGCTCTGAAATTCTCTCTGATCTCCCCTATTCGATACACCGTTCCGACCGTACCGGCAATAGAGGGGGAGGCGTATGTTGCCTTGTTAAAGATGACCTTTTTGTCAAGTGTGTTTCCTTCAACAATGAAATGACTTCCAACTTGTTGTGCTTGGATATCTACTCACTTTTTTCAAATTCTTCTTTTCGATTCATTCTAGTATATCGTCCGCCCTCCTCTAGTGCTGGTGATGACAGCATGTTGGCTGATGCTATTTATGACTTGAGTTCTTGCCACTGCCCACGATCATACTGGGTGATTTCAATGTAGACTTTTGCGCAGTCAATAAAAGCACTCGCGATAAAAAACTTTTGTCGTCTTTGAGTTATTGCGCCCCTAAGCAAAACGTTACAAATGCTACAAAAGAAAATCCCATTCTTGATTTGATCTTCTCAACCGATGACGTCATCAAAGATGTTCACATTGATCCTCCTTTTGGCAATTCGGATCACAATGTGATTACATTCCAAGTCCACTTCAATGTTTATAAATCAATATTTCTCCCTTACCCTGACTATTCCAGTGCGAACTACGCGGCCATAGACAGGAGTCTTTCCTTTATAGATTGGCCAGCGATCTTTTATGATTGTATGACGATTGATGATTTATACAAACGTTTTTGTATTCAGGTATACAGTGCTCTAGCAAACTTTGTACCTTTTCGCTACAGCACCTCCATTCACCATTAACCCAAACATATTACCAATCTACTGCAACAAAAATGCAGGCTTTTTGGTACTATGCATGGTCCCCTCACAAATGATCTGTATAGAAAAGTCTGTTCAGATATAAGTCATCACATCAGGAGATTTCTGGCCAATCGGGAAAGATGTTTTGCTAGATCTGACTTTGAAAAATTTTACCAATATCTAAAACTAAATAGCAGATGGCAGCAAAATCTCCCATCCTTATTGGATGAGAACAACAGAATTCTCATGAAGGACGAAGAGAAAGCTGAAGCATTGGGACGATTTTTTGCCTCTGTCTTTGCAAATGGAGGTGGAGGTGGTGAGAATGGGGACGATACTTGGCTTCCATCTTCATCATTTCCACGAATCTCTGCTAGATGCAGTGACATAGTGATTCATCCCAACCATCTTTTTGAGATTCTGTCTAGGCTGAAATCATCAACAACTATTTCGTATAATGGAATTCCTCAGATTGTGTACAAGAAATATGCCCGAGCTCTCTGCCCCTCTGTCATGTATATATAATGCATCTCTTTCAATGGGCCAAGTTCTCCAACTGTGGAAGGAGGCTCTTGTTACCGCAATTCCAAAAAACTCATCTAGCAACAAGTTGTCCAATTTTCGTCCTATAAGCATTATTCCGCCTTGTGGTAAAATATTAAAGAAAATCACTAGTGATAAACTGAGTGACTGGCTGCAGAAAAATCACATCATACCACAAGAACAGCATGGATTCCTGCCTGGAGGATCAACCACTGCGCTACTTTGCGATTCTGCTTTCAATTGGATGACAGCGCTAAACCACCAGAAATGTGTGGACATCATTTACTTTGATTTATCAAAAGCCTTTGACAGAGTTAATCACAAAAACTTTTGCTGAAACTAGAAAGCGCAGGTATCCGTGGTCAGCTGCTGAAATGGCTGGAATCCTATCTCAGTGAACGTAGAATGACCGTGCGCGTTAAAAACATGTATTCAGAAAAGTATTTGTGCAGCAGTGGTGTTTCGTAGGGAGGAATCCTCTCACATTTTACTTTATACAGCCGACCTACCCTCGTTCATCAAAACCGACCCAAAAATACATGTGCAAATTTTTGCGGATGATCTTAAGATATACGCTTGCTATGGAAAAGAGGAAAGGGAGGAAGCCTACAAAGCCCTCTCTTCTTCCATGGAAAGAGTGAATTTATGGTCTGAGATATGGAATCTGCCCTTAAATCTTTCAAAATGCTTTGTCATGCACATAGGCGACACCAGTACTCACCTCAAGTCATTTGTCTGCGGTGGTACTGAGCTTGAGTATCGAAGCGTCGTGAAAGATTTGGGCGTTTTTGTTGATGATGCTCTCACTTTTACTGCACACTATGCAGTCGTCACCAAGTCGCTGGCAGCACTGTTTATGCTTCTACGTAGCATCCACGGTAATGAACCTGAACTTTTCGTGCGTTTATGCAAAACGTACGTCTTGCCTCATTTAGATTATGCTTCACCTGTTTGGAGTCCTTATTTAAAAAAGCATGTGGTGAAGCTAGAAAAAGTTCAAAAAATTTTTACAAGGATAGTTTTTTACAGATGTTTCCCTGACCCTCAATACCCCCGCACATTACCGTCCTACGGTGCTCGACTTGCAGTTTCAAAGCTGCGTAGTTTGAAGTATAGACGTGTTGTTAGCGACTTAGTGTTCTGTTTTCGTATCCTAAAATTAAAAACGAAATTACGAGCTAGTAAATACTGGATCTTTTGGCCTGGTGGAGAGCGTTCAGGTGGGTTTGATTTGCATTACATGAAGCTAGGTAAAAAATGCTTTTTGCAAACCTTCAATTCATATTTCTGCCGAACCACAAGATGGTTGAGCCCTTTACCTAAGGAAATTATTTTTTAGTAAATACGCATACTCTTTTCGTAAGAAATTGGGCTCTATTAATGTACTGGAACATTTGCATATAGCTGATGTCTAGGTTGAGTCTTCTGATCGTTCCCTTCTACCGTTGATTCTTGCCAGCTCTGTTGTTAATATGGCGACAACGATTCATCGAGTCTTGTTCGCGCTGACCTGCGCTGATCAAAATTCTCCATCGCCGCATTTTTTTCATTCCGAGATTATCAAACGCCTTTTCATGTTTTTTTTTCTGTTTTTTTAATCTTCTTGATGTCATACTAACTTTATTGACATTGTATGTTGCTGTTCACTAACAAATGGCGCGCCTATGAGCGTATCAAATAAATAAATAAATAAATAGTAAGGGTATTTGACCTGCCAAACGCGAATATCACATTCATTTATTGAATCAACGCCTTTTCCTTGTTTAGGGTGAGACCCCATATCGTACACCTACAGTAATCCTATAAAAAAGCCCTTATCACGCAATTTAACCATCGTTTTCGTGATCAGCATGTCGAATAACACTCCTATGCCAAGTTTCAGCCAAATCCGTCAAACTTTGAATTTTTCCTCTTCATACCATGCACCTACCGTAACCCTCACTGCGACGTCAGAATTTGGTAGGACAGCAGCTGCGCTTGTAGCTTACGTAATAACCAACGCAATGGCAAAATTTGAGTGCGCTATGTTGAGTGAGAGGGAAGTTATGAGATCAGTTGCAAAACTTTCCAACCTAATAAATGAAGAAAAGAGGAAAATGGACAAGTTTTTTCTGAATTTTACTCCTTATCGCGGTGCGGCGGAAGATGCCGCACGTCAAAATCTGAAAGAGCAATTTTTTCTGAGTAGTTTCATGTAACTTTTGATAGAAGTCGCGACATCACGGCGCTACGTCGCGCGCGGCAAAGCTGGGCGAAACTGCGTTCGCGCGATTGCCTCTTGGCTAACACGCATCGGTGCAAAACGGATGCGGACTATCGTAAGCCAGCGCGGCGCGCGTGTCGACTATGGCGGCGAGCTTTGGCGGCG